ACATAAAACAAATTTTCAAATAAAACAGCTAAACAGAATACATATGGAATGCTATAGACATTTCCTTCTGTAAATTCAATATAAGATTTATGACTCATCATTTCAATGTCCTGTTGTACAAAAGTCAATTCAGATTTTGTTTTTACAGAATGGTAAGTGCATCTCAAGTAAAAAAAAAACCAACCAAACCAAACCTCAAGGTATTACTAAGATTGTCTAACTAAGACTTATCTCACAGCTGCCTTGCCACTGTTTGGTTGAAGTACATCTGCCAAGTTTGCTTTTATCAAGCTTTTCAAGCAGGATACACTCTCTGCATTATTTTACCTGTTTTTTAATACTTCATTGTGGCAAAATTTGTCCAAAAATAAAAATTATTTTTCATAGTTATCATTCTGAGAACACTGAAATCAACTAAAAGACCTAATATTGACTTAAGTGTGCTTCAGGTCAGACCCCAAATATTTATGGCAATAATAAAGACTATTTAATAAAGAATGGTAAAAAAGCTGAGAAAACCAATGTTGTAAAAAACCTCAGAAACTTCAGAATCAAATTGGTCCATTTTTGTTTCATGTGTAAAGTTCATTTTCAAGAAATTGAGGAAGTAGAACAACTAATTTCCAGAATATCTTTTTTTTTTTTTTTTTTGTACAGTGGGAAAGTTTCAAATGCTTGGTTAAAATGAAAATCTAACTCTCTAAAGACTGAACCATCCATTGCAAGTTTCCTTACCCAAGCCACATACACTTTTCTAATGAAAAGTAACCAGCATTGCACAAATCTGTTCATGATAATGCACTATTTAAAGTCTCTAAAATGTTTCTAGTGCTAGACACTTTCAGATAAATATAACAGCATTCCCAAAATATGATAGAGGGTGAGTTGGCTACCTACTAAGATTTTACCTTTTCACCTGGAGTCCAATCAATTTTTGTCATGGAAACCTGAGAAGCGAACACAATCACTGGGAAAAACAGTGTAAAGGAAAACCATAAAATTTTAGTGAGTAATAGTGAAAATGTTTGCTTACAAAAAAAACACCCCATCTTCCCCTTCCATAAAACAGCAGAACATGAACAACCAGAATATCAAATCAAGATATTAAGAAAACAAGTAAATGAAACTGGTAGCAGCAATCAATACACATTTCTGTTGGTTCTTTCAAAATATAGACGATAAGGAGAGACTCCAAAACCTAGATCATATTTGTGATAAAGAACTGTGGGAGCATAGTCCTTCAGTGTTGGAAGGGGAACTATGTTGGTTTCCACTGGTCCACAATAGGTGCTTCATATATTTGTACAGCTTCCTCTCAGGAACTGGGGGCATCTTTAAACACACTTTCCCACCTGCTGAAACCAAAACCAGGCTATATCTGGCTGACTGGTGTGATGGATCTGCTGTGACCAGTTTTCAACACTGGTAGATCACCCAAAGCCAATGAAATTAATGGGACGGCTCTAAATTTCAGCATGTCATGGGAAAAGCCAGTAAGTGTGTTGAGTGTCTCTTTAGGGGAGGCAACTAATGAAGACTAGCAGCAACCAACATGATCAAAATCACCTGCTTAGGCTTGAAGGAAATCTTGCCACCTGTATTTTATACATCTGTGTGTTTGGTTCATTGTAGAAGCAGTGCTTACCTTTTGCAGGCCTTTCTCCCTTCTCTCCTTCAAATGAAGGAGGTTGGAAAGTTGGTCTAGCTTTATTAGTGTATGATCCTGTGAAGAACACTGGGGCATTGGTTTGAAATATACCACTGAAATAAGAGATAAAGCTTTTTAGAAGACACCAAACCTCATCTTTATGCTATTAATGGTGTCTCAACATGCTATATTATATGCATTAAAGAACCCTAAGTAAAGAGTGTAACTTCATTTTCATCCTTTATCAACAGTGTTTTAACTTAAAAGGAAAGTCATGAATGCATAAAGGGAAAACCGTGGGATACACCATAAAGGATACTGGGAATGAAAGCAATGCATGATATTGCAGATATAGCCATCCTTATGTGACACACAAAGTAAGAGTTCCATCGTGGACAGGACTTGTAAGAGATTATAGACTGAAGTGTAATGTATACAACACCCGAGCCAAATGCCACCAAAGCTCCTATGTCATGGACACTGGGAACAGCCAGCTCCTGGAAAAAGAATCGGCATAATGGTTAGCTGCTACTATCTGAGTAGTGGTAGGAATCAATGAGGCGTGAGGTTACAGCAGCCACATTGTGTTGGGCACGCACAAGGAATGGGAAACAGTCCCTTTTCCAAACAGTCTACACAGGGAAGACGAAAGAAAACAGGAAAAGAGTAGCTCAGAGAAGTAAACTGTGTCCAAAGTCACTGGGTCAGTCCTTTCCCATGTTCATGTAAAAGTTTAGATCAGTTTTAGTTCTGTTCAACAGTTGCTCTAATACCAATTAATGTTTTCACAAACAGGAACAGGCCTGTGCTTTTCTTGAAAGGTTCTTATACTTTCTCCTTCCCCATACCTTGACAGATTTTAACCCCATATTGAAATTCTAATCTGCATTTGTGTGGCCAGACTCTAATGGTAAAATTTCAAGGGAGCTGTTCTAAATAGTGACTCCTCTAGCTCCATCCCCCACCCTCCAGTGGCCAATCACAAGGCTCCAAGAAATAAGTCAGGAGAAAATTAGTTATATATATAAAAAATACCACTATATGTGGCCTATATTTTTGCAATACCCTGCCTATGGAAAATTCTCTCCATAGAACAAGTAGAATATCCAGTAGCAAAAGAGATTAAGATTCCAGAGAAATTACTGTATTCTAAATGTTTCAAAAACTTTTACAAAACCAAAGATATGGCACATTGGAATCCAATATCAGTCAGGTAAGTTATGTTTAAAGCTCCTTTCTGTCACCAGAGCGTAACCAAACAGGTGCTATGAACCTATGAACTGACCTACTACAGATCTGTTTTCTTGATTCATGAAAACATATCTATACCCTTTCCTTACATATCTGAATATCTCTCCTGCCTGGAGGCCACTGTTTTCTTTGTCTTGTAATGGTGGTTATGTCCACATGGTCTCTTAAATTCTTTTTCCCCTGGCTTTTCTTTATACTCATTCCCTTCTATCTCTCTGTATTAAGTTCTACCAGAATTTAAAGCATGTTCCTCACATAGATATTTAAGTGGCAGCTCATCTATACTTGCATTTTCTTCTCCTCTGTCCCAATTTTTGCCTCCCATATATACAGGAATGGCAGGATTTGGTACGGAAAGCATTAAACAAGCATTGCATTTAGCCCTATACACAATATAGAGAGCTTTGCTAACATGGCTGTCGTGATTGCTCCTATCAAACTGTCACAGTTTCCTTTAAAAAGACCATCATGCCCAATCCCTACAGAAGCTGAGACCTGTTGCTACATGTGCTACAGCAAGCCTCCAAAGCTTTCCAGGCAAAGGCAGGAAGATCACTCTTTAATCATGTGTAATGTCTAACAAGCAAAACCAGAGCTGCTACGACCTGGGATTTCACTTTGCCTTGTTCATTAAGGACTACAGGGTTTTGCCTTCCACATCCAATTATCTTCTTAAAGCTAACCCTCCACTGTCTTTCATTTCTGTGTTTCAAGCATTGTGTTATTTAAAACAGAGAACAAACATTCACAACCATTACTTATTTTCTCAGAAAATCATTTGCTTTTAAGGGACACATTCTTAGTGTTTTGTCCCATCCTGTTCTTCACTTTTACTAAGTGTTCAGACACCAGTACCATTAAACCTCCATGCTACCTACCCTGTCTTACCTTGAAGCAAAAAGGGTGAAAAAAATTTCCTTACAATTAATTATGTCACTTAAAAGACTCACCACAAGTGGCACTACATTGAGTAAATAAAAGCTAACCTTAAATATTTCAAGTATAATTTCACACTGAAGCCTTTTTAGCAGACTAGGTATTTGCTCTGGAGAAAGAGAAAATGAACTGATGCCCAGTAGTGTCAATCAACTCTACTACAGTACTCAGGTATGGTGTGAACTCACCTGCTGGGGAAAAATGAGCATTAAGAAACTAACAGGTAGTGCACATGAACATAAATTTCCTGCATGACACACTGATTAGAGGGACAAGACTGAATACTAAAGAAATAACTTCTAATTCCAGCTTCGCTTTGATCTCCTGACCTGAAACAATCACCTTGAGCAAATCTCACATCCTCTTCATGTCTCAGTTATTCTACTAAATGGGTAAATGGGGATAGCACTGTTCTGTTCACTGGATGTACACTACACAGCTTAAAGATTAAAGACTTGCAAGCCACCATTTGCAGCTTCCTGGGCAAGTAAGCATCCTCAAAAATCAGCTAGGGAGATGCTTAGCAAGATTAGATCCTTACTGTGTTCTGAGCCCTTTCTACAAACTGCACTTAGCATGGAAAGCAAGGTCAAAGCAGAAAAAATAGAAATTAGGTAAGGAAGGAGTTTAAAACTGGCAGTGAGAGAAAACAGAGATGAGATAAGAACGAATGTTATAACTGCCAAGGGACCCCCTTGGGAACATTAGCATCAAAGTTTCTGCTTCCCTGACTGTCACAATTATTTTGCATTCTTGAATTTGTCTTTTTCTTATTGAAGCTGAGTCTGTTTTCTATTTCAGTCAAGCAACGCTGTTCCCCATCATCTAACTTTTTTTTGTGCCACATATAAATCTTATCAATAACAGTACAGATTTTTAAAAGTAAAACAGTGTGCTTAGAATAGACTGCTGTGCCTGTGGTGTTTGCAATCCACACATACTACCAGGATATAAAACTAAAAAGGGTAAGGTATCAGTCTAAGGTAGCATTTTTGTCTGAAAATACCATGTCCACTACATGTAAGACTGTACTGGCTGCTGAAGCCCTGACAATCTTTATTTTAAATTCCTCTGTATCTTGTCAGGTCACTGTATGAGCACACCAGTGTTTACCAAACTCTTCCAAGGTAGGCCATCCTTTAAAAGAAATAATATAGCTGTTTCCACAGATTTAAAGGCAGTGTCTCAAACTACCTGTCAATTAGATTTTACTTGATTCTAAGCTGAAGCTTTCAGTGCAATTGTCCTAATACTTCTTTGTGTCAGAATCTACCCTATTACACACTTCCTCACTAGAAAAGGTGAAATTAATAATCTGTTTCAGTATTTTTTGTCTTTATTGAATTTTCTTTCAGACACTGAGGAATGGATTTTGATTTTTAATGAGATATCAAATTCTTTCTGGCAAAGTAAGCAGTAACTCTACATGTCTCTATAAATAAAGACTTAATATGTTGTTATGCCATCTCCCACAGACTCAAAACAACAGGCTGATATTGTGCTCAATGTTCTCACCTGTCAGGTAAGTCTAGTTTATTCTGTAGAAAGTTCTGCTAGCGTGTCATCATTCAGGCAAAAATGCAGGTGCATTTGTTAGTCTGACTTACTTTGCCCTCCCTAACTGGAAGCAAACTAAACTTTGAATAGCAAAGCTTTTCACAGTCCAATTCTCATAGTAAAAAATTTACAGCAAAAGCATCCATATTAAGTTGTTTTACAGTACAGACCTTTTACAAGACAAGCACACAGGAAACCCCTTATTGACATAACTGCACAAGCAAAAAATCTAGTATATAGGGAGAAAACAAATCTGTCTCTTTAAAGCTACTGAATAAAGGCAAGAGCAAGAAAGGCATTCCTACTTCATTTTCCAATTATCCACCTTGGAATAGTGTTAATTACTCTTACCTATTTGAAATTTTAACTGGTAAAACAACTTTAGTTTCATTTATGATACGAAATTTACGGTCATACCTGAAAAGTTGCAACTATGCCCATTCCAATACAGCCCATCAATCCAATACATAATGAAAACATGTTGCACGAAGACCTAACAAAGCGTGATGACTCATTTTGCTTCTCTATTAATAAATACCTGATGTACATTGTAATTACACCTGAAAAAGAACAACCAAAAATACATATTTTGGTCACTGATCATGTATTGCTTACATTTTAACACCTTTTCCTGTAACAAATGAGCATGCAGAATGAAAATATAACATAATACAGTAACTAATATTGCCTTTAAATCTACTGGGATGAAGAAAAAAGGTAGTGAATTTCAGATATATTAATTTCAGATAAACCTTTAACATTATCTTAGTCTTAACATCACATATTATTGCTATCTAGAAATAACTGTACATCACTTCAAGAAAAACACCAATTTAAATCCCATTCTCCTGAGTGTTTTGGGCAGAGGCATTGCCATTCCGCATTAGGAACAGATGTCACAAGGAGATGAACTGTAAGCTGGAAGTGGGAGGTTTTATTCTGCTCTGATACAGTCTTTTACAAGAACTACATCTCTTTATAATGGATGGTCTGTAGAATCAATTAGTTTTTGCAGTCCAACATATGTGACCCCAATATGCAGTTCACTCCTGACAAACACCTGTACTGGATACGAAAATCCTTCCATATAACACAGAACATAGTTTTAGTCTATCTACAGTTGGAAAAATACATCAGGTAGCTTTGCCCAGGCACTGTGAGGTTACAAGAAAGATGCCAAGATAGTGTGATTGAATGAGGCTCTTACAGAAGGTAAAATATGTGATTTTTACTTTGCTTTAAGGCCATGCTAGACTACAAAGCTATCGATCCTCCATTCCCTAGCAGTGAATAGAAAATGCCAAACTTCCTGATTCCCATCAGTGATTTTGAAGAGAAGTAGGCATGTTGCAGAGAAAACCAGGTGTTGCTTCAACACGGTTCTTCCCTTTGCTGCAGCATATTAGAAACTAAAGTGTCCCCATATCAGAGACAGCGTTTTTGCACAGTAATTATACCATCTTTCTTCCTCTTTTATTTCAAGCCATGTTGACTACTTTGCACTGATGAGGTGCTCTTAAGAGACATAAGTGCCTCTAAGCCTGCACTAACTGATCCTAAGGACCTGGCCCTCTGGCTATTACTTACATCTATCTGATACTATCATTTGACTGTGGAGTAGTTTTTCTGCAGAATACTGAATGGACTGCAATGTAAGCAGACAGCTTTTGCTAATTCTCATTTCTTCATTCTGGTCAAACCAAGTACTTTATACATACCTAAAAGAGCTGAAATATTAATCATAAAACCAAAGACACCGCTTTCTGGAGGTTTTGTTCCAGTGTCACTAAAGCAGGAAGAGAAAGAAATTAACAGTTAATTGAGATCTGTGAAACATAAATGAGATGTACACATGAAATCCCAAGAAAAATGTAACTTGTGTGAACTCTGTTTTGGGGATAAGGCATTTAAACATTTCTGCTGAACATGTAGCCTCCATTTGCAGTAGTGAATCTTTCTTTTCATAAAGTGTATTTTGAGAGCCTACTATTTGAACTGTATTTCTTCCTTTTCTGTATTCAACGTGCAGAGATGTGACAGAGCAATACTTTGTTCATGAATGACATGATTACATAAATGACATTCTAGAAATGGTGTTTCTTTTATCCACTGAATTAACACTGTGATAGAGTAAAACATATCTAATGGCATCTCACATCTTAAGATGTGAGACAATTTGGCTTAATTGCCTGATTGTCTTAAAAGGATCTTACCCCGTGAGAGTAATTGTGTTCCAATGCCCAGGAAGGTTCCTAGGAGGGGTTTAATTTGCTAATGTAGATGCAACTTAAGAGTAGTCTACACCCAAGGTGTTGTAAGTCTCTTCTGCTGAAGCAATTCAGCCTTATAGTGGATAATTAGAAATTCACTGGGATAGAAAGAGGGAGCATGAGTGCAAGAATATCTACAGAATTTATATACATACATATGTGCATAGATATATATATGAAAAACACCACATATACAAAATATTTGTTGTGTAGAAAATGGAACACCTTGATCACAGAATCCTTTTCTCTCTTTTCCCTACATATGTGCAAACACCCACCCCAAAGAATGTCCTGTCTTCACAAGATGAACATATGCCTGGGAGTACGTGGGCTCAAGTTCCCTCAAGCAAGACTCTTCTATAGAGGGTGAGTGCTCTGTTGAAGGAACAATACTGTGATGCTGTCACCTCTTTACACTATTTTTCTTGTTCAATGTCTGTTTTTTCTTGTCCAGCATAAAATCAGTTGATATCTATTTTATCAGGCTCTGTCGGTCAAGCCAATGGAAAACATCTAGTTCTTAAATCTTTACATAATTTGGGTGTGAGCTGAGTTTTCAGTTACTGGGCAGTACCAGGAGGCACAATTGCATGTGTGTAAACAGAGCCACCCAATGAACTCTACTGTCAGAAATGTAAACGTAAGGGATTCAGTTAATGTCAAAGTTTATTGGAAACTGAGCAAAGATTCTGAGACTTAACTGTTCTCAGAGGGTGGGAGTGTCAACCTGCTGGAGGGTAGGAAGGCTCTGCAAAGGGATCTGGACAGGTTGTATTGATGGACTGAGGCCAATTGTATGAGGTTCAATTAGACCAAGCACTGGGTCCTGCACTGTGGCCACAACAAACTCATGCAGTGCTACAGGCTGGGGGAAGAGCAACTGGAAAACCGCTGAGCAGAAAAGGATCTGAGGGTGTTGGTGAACAGCAGCTGAAAATGAGCCAGCAGTGTGCCCAGGTGGCCAAGAAAGCCAATGGCCTCCAGGTCCATATCAGAAATATCTCTATTTCTGATACAGACTAGCAGGACAAGGGAAAGCGATTCCCCCCCTGTACTCAGCACTGGTGAGGCCACACCTCGAGTGCTGTGTCCAGTTCTGGGCCCCTCACTACAAGAAAGACATTGAAGTGCTGGAGTGTGTCCAGAGAAGGGCAGCAAAGTGAAGGGTCTGGAGCACAAGTGCTATGAGGAGCAGCTGAGGGAGCTGGTGTTGTTTAGCCTGGAGAAAAGGAGGCTCGGGGGACACCTTATCACTCTCTACAACTACCTGAAAGGAGGTTGTAGCCAGGTGGGGATCAGGCTCTTCTCCCAAGCAACCAGCCACAGGACAAGAAGATATAATCTTAAGCTGCACCAGGGGAGGCTTAGGTTGCATATTAGGAGGAAAAGGTGACAGACACTGGAATGGACTGCCCACGGAGGTGGTGGAGTCCCACCATCCTGGGAGGTGTTTAAGGAAAGCCTGGGTGTGGCACCTCATGCCATGGTCTAATTGATATGGTGGTGTTTGGTCCTAGCTTGGACTTGATGATCTCAGAAGTCTTTTCCAACCTAACTGATTCTGTGATTCTGTGTATGATGGGACAAGTAGGTACCAGCAAGATGTGGGGGTTTTATGTGATTCAAGAAGATGAATATTCTTCTTTCCAACAGTGAGGCTGGATTAGGTTTCAGTGCTAAGCTTCTGAACCTACCGCTGAGTGCAGCCAAAATGACAGCTGCTCAGCATGAATGCTTGTGCTCTCAACATCCAAAAGAGAAAGCAATCTCTATTTAAGCAATCATTCTTAAAGATTTTGACAATTTCGTTAAGTTCAAGACAGAAGAGTATGACTATCTCAAAAGACTTGATTTTCTTTAGAAATTAATATTTGCTCTCAACCCTCTTCTATGTACAGAAGGATTTGTGTAACCAGTTGCTAAGATGATTTACCAACAACAGGAGGAAGTTTAGGATAAAGGAAGGATCCTTTTCTATGAAAAACTGATGCAAAAAATAGAGAAAATTAAAGCATCTGTTTTTACTAGTTTGGTTCTTGTGGTAGTGCTTTCTGAAGATTTGTTTCAGCTTGTACTCTGCACTAGTCTTGTCCCTCTTTGATAGTGGAATGGATGAAAACAGTAAACTAACTCTTTTTTTGTTTGTTTGTTTGACACATCTGAAAATCATTTTAATCCGTGTTTCACTTAGCCCATTTTTTAACCTTCAACTTCACATCTTTTCCTTGTGTTTCTGGAGTGTTTTCATTAATATGACAAAGGACTCCATTTAAAAAGTCAGCCACTTGTGACAATCTTCAAGGACTTTTTCAAATCAGAAACCGCTCTGTGGTAAGTACAGGACTGTAATCACTTCAAAGCTTTTGAAGGACTTTAGGTGAGAAGAGAATGGAATTGGCACATTCATAGAAAGCCATGTGAAGTTCTTGGAACACATCATAAGAGCAATCCAAATAACCTAAAATTGCACTGGTCTCCATTTTTTAATTAAAACTTTTTTCAAGCTAAAGCTTTATAGGTGAATTTTGCTATTGTTGATTTTTAAACTCAGTAGACGTACGTTTTCAAGAAATTTCATACCAAGAATACTATATTACATCTACAATCTATTTACAAAGTACTGCACTGGACCTTTAAGGACACAGTCTTTTTAATGTCATATTTTCCACTGAAAAATCCCTGAAGCTAAATGAAGACTTAGGTTCATTTTCATTTTGCTTCTGGTCTGTTGCTATGGAAAAAAAAAGATTAGAAAAAAAGTATGGGTGACAGTCCCTTTCTTATTATGAAAAAGACAAAAAGCAAATGGCATATTTGAAACAAAAATGTGCTCACTTATTTGGAGTGGTGCATAAGTGAGCTCTGCCACCACTGAAAAGATGAGGAATACTCTACTTGTGTCACCGTCTCATGCAATAAAATTCTAAAACCAAACAATATTCTGAAGAGTGGAAAGACAAGAAGGTGGAGGAGACAAGTAATAAATATTTTAGGGCCAAAAGACTCATCGTCATCTAATTACTACATAGCCATCATAAACTATTTCTCTCCAAACTTTAAGTCCCAAATTTTTAAAATAGGAAAATTCTATTCTCCCTACAGGGATTCTTATTGATCCAGAGGTACACCTGATAGCAAATACCTTTAGGAAAATTCCCTTTATGCTTTCACTGAGAATTCAAAACATGAAACAGCCACCTCAGCACATCCAAATTAGTTTGGATTTTGAGTATATTAGCAAAAGAACTAGTTTGGCCATAACCTAATTTTGGACTCAGCTGCTAGAAAACACAAAATCATGTTCATTTTATCTACCCAGAAATGTATTGACTTTACTTGATGAGACATTAGCACAGTTTCAATGACAAATTCAGGTGTGGTCTCTCACTGTGACAGCTGTTACATGGTAAACAAATAAAATTAATAAGTTACATCAAGGCATACACAGAGTACCTGAGGAACGCATATAAGAATTACAGAAATGCTGAACTAAAGTTTGTCCATATTCTTCTCCTTTGTGTAACTGGAATTTTCCCATACGAGCTCTATTTAATTTTTAAAGCTCATTTTAAGATATTGCACAACTTATATGTTGCAACATTCTTCCTCTTTTTTATGATTCTAATCTTTACTAAATCACATTCTTAATCACATGATTCAGATTCTTAGGCTAAAGCAATGACCTGCAAAATAAAATATGCACTACGGTATGACTATTGGCCTGAGTACTTAAAAGGAAATATCATATTACTCCCAAGTACACCTTCTACAAAGATCTTATGCTTACACCATGTTCCTTTAGAATTATTACAGATTCTTCAAGAATAGCCAATGTATATCTTTAATCCAAATGTGGTGTTAAATGGATGTAAAATAAAAAAGACTTTGAAAAAACTTTACTAGTAAATGCAGAGGGCCTGAAATGTGACTGGTTATCACTGATGCAGCCTCTCAAGTCTTTGCTTTGTTTGGGTTCTTTTACGGTATACTGACATACATTGTGATTCCCTACTAAAGGATAAGAATGATTTTTTTTCTGTGATCTATTCCGTTAGACTGATGTAACTATGGCAGCTGCAACACAGTCATCAAAGTTATAGAACTGTGACTTAAAGGTTTGGTCCATCTCTTTAAAAAAGAATGACACAATTAAGATATTTGGACTGTCAAAAACTTAACTGAAAATGCAATTATACAGAAAAAACCACATCCTGTTTTCTCATATATTTTATTCTATGGCATGGTTTAACATAAGAAACGTAATTTTGCCAAATTTCTCACTACAGGACCTCAAAATCCTTCTGAGTACAAACCATATACTGAGAATGAACAGTTATATCAAATGGGTTTTTTTCCCTTGGTTAATAATAGATAAATTACACTTATCAGAAGCGCTTTTGTGTCAGTAAAACTGTGTATGTAATCAAGGACGAGCCGTAAGGTATTTATTCAAGTACAAGAACGAGGCTTTCCAAGAGCTGAGCCCAAATTTGTGCAGATAATCTTAAAAACTTTTGCTAACATAAGCATGTGGTCCAAGTTTCTTTGGCTAAATTTGAATGAAGCTCAGCTTTCTTGTGGGCTGTGGTGTCATTTGCACTTGCCTATGATGACAAACCCTAATTTTCAATCAAATTTGCTTGTATGTGCCAATCAGGTTAGCAGTCTTCTGAAATTATGAATGTCCATGAAGTCTTTCAAGGAATTAGGTCTAGATGTATCTTGAAAGATGTATTTTAAAATCTTGTTTAGATCTTCTGTATATCAGAAACACTCTTGGATATCTGGCTAAGCTTTAATCTATTAAGAGATAAAATCTAGCAATTTCATAGTTTATATTTAAATGTTAACATAAATCACAAGCAATGATTTATACAGAACTGCACTTAAGTGACTAAGGTTTTAGAAAAGAGATGCCAGCCACCTCTTGGGAAGTCTTTTACACTCATTGGTCCTATGCTGAAATTTTAAAAATGCGTGTTCGTGGGGATGCATGTACTGCAAAAACCATCATAGGGTTTCAAGTCATCTGGTGCACTTTGGCCCAGTTCTGGAGTTATAGAAACAAAGCTACATTTCCACCACTTGATTGTAAAGTTTTGCTATGATCAGGCCTTCGGGACACTTTGGCTCCGTCAGAAAACTGTTTCAGGTCCTTTCCACTGCGTCTGCCAGCGTTTGGGTCCTGTGGCTCTTGGAGAGGCCCGGGCGCTGGAGGTATGATGGGTGCCGGGAGGGCAGAGCGTGCGCCCCCATCACAGGGAGGCCCTGCCAACACTGCCTCTCCTCCTCTGGGGATCCCACACCCGACTGGGAGCCCCTCGGAACCGCCGCCTGTGTGTCACATACACACACAAACACACACAAACACACAAACACACAAACACACACAAACACACACACAGCTCCCCCTGCTCCTCGGGCGCTCCCACCGCGCTCCCGCCTCACCTGATGTAGGGGACGAGGGGCTCGACGTGCCCCTCCAGCACGGCGATCGCATAGGAGATGATGAAGGCGGCCGAGGACCAGCTGACGAGCAAAGCGGGGACGAAAGCCACGCCGGGCATGCAGCACAGCATCGCCGGCGACTGCCCTGCCCGGGGCACGAGCGGCGGGGCGGCAGCGCCCGGACGGGCTCCGTGGCGGCGCCCCGAAGTCACGGACCGTGACCGAGGACCCGGGGGACGCACACACGAGCACTCACACGTGTCTTTTCCCGCCAGGCAGGGGCGCTGCCGCCTCCAGCGGCCCCGGGGATCCCCCGCCGCCCGATGACTTCCCTTCACTTTCGGTTCTCCTCAGCGGTGCCCCGGGGCAGCTCCCGCCCCGCCCGCGGGCGGCCCCGAGGGCGGCGGGGGCCGGGGACCGCAGTGAGGCCCTTCGCCTTTCAGCCCTGCCCACACCTGGAAGCAGCGCTTCGGAGAGTTTCTGACCTCAGAAATCCTCCCCACAGCCCCGGCTCCGGCGGCTGCCGCCTCTCGGGGCCTCTCACGCCCTGTCGGGGCAGGGAGCGGGCGGTGCGATGCTGCGGGGCAGCGGGACACGCCGCCTTGTGCCTTC